AACATAGCCATCATTACGCATTAAATATGGCACGTGGCTCGATGCAAGCGTGTGACTCCATCCCTTCAAGTCTCATCAACTGTTGGGCTCCCCGCTCGCCGAACACGCGCGAAAAAGTTTCAGGTTCCTCGTGTTAGACGATGACAATGATCTAGAAGGGGATTGAATAGATCACAAATTTATTACAAGAGTTGGCGCTTAAAAATATGGTTTAAAAATTTGTGCGCAAGCGGACGAGGAACCAAGTCGTCTAAAAGAATCGTTATCGAAAAGATCGGATATGGGATAAGGCAAATGAAACAATAATTCTAATGAGACACCGAATCAATAGCTTGATGATTAATCAATACGAACAACAACACTTTAGAGTGCCCAATTTCCAATGACTTGTAAAATGTAAAGTTAATTTGACAATAAAGCAAACAGTTTATGTGCGATCAATTTGTCGAGCACTTGGTGAGCAAAACACCCCAAGTGTTGTTTCCCATTTAATGTGAGTGCAAATTTTTTGCAATTACAATCCAAGTGATTGCAATGAGTTTTCAAATCAGATTTTCAGCACTACACTACAGCAGAATTTTATTGATCAATTGATATTACACAAACGTAAACAATTCAATATAAAGAGAAAGAGAAAGATAGAACAACACCGGATTTGTTTAGGCAGTTCCCCCTTTCGTCCTCATTTAGGGTACGTCTGCCCCTAATTCTAAAACTAGAATTAAGATATGTATTATCTTATTGCAAAAGTTTATACAAGAGAATCAATAGACACCACACACTCAAACCTAGTTGTTGATGTTGATACTATGTCTTCTCTCCCCTTGATTCAAGATGAATCAAGTGTCTCGAACGTGTTGAACAAACCTCCGTCGCTACTTTTTTGAACAACCCCACCGGTCTTCAAACCTTTCACTTGGATGATTTCGATCATACACTATTTGAACCCAAATCTTTCTTGCATAATCCTCCGGTTAACGCTACTTAATTAAACGAACCCTCCGTTCTTCAATCCCCTTCGCTCGACTGAATCTGTGAAGATAAGATTTGTGCAAAACCCCCCAAATCCTTAAGATCTTGGCGGACAAAACCCTAACGATTTTATTCAAGAAAAAATCCACCAAAATCTCAACCCAAAACGAGATACACAATCCTACGTTTGGACGTTATCACCTTAATGATGCAAAAGATCAACAAAAATTGTTATGTGTAATTGTTAAGAAAATGCAAGAATGCAGATGAAGATGATGAGAATAATTCGGTATATATATATATATATATATATATATATATATATATATATATATATATATATATATATATATATATATATATATATATATATATATATATATATATATATATATATATATATATATATATATATATATATATATATATATATATATATATATATATATATATATATATATATATATATATATATATATATATATATATATATATATATATATATATATATATATATATATATATATATATATATATATATATATTCATTATGTCTTATCATTTTGATATGATGCTATAACCAATAAACTAACATAACAACAATTTGACACAAGACATATAAGAAAAATAGCATATTTTTAGCGAGCAGTCGACCTAAGCTTGCAGGGGGTCAACCTGAGCACACCCGAGAGCAAGACTATGCAAAAATTAAAGTTGTGCGCCGACCAGAACAGGGTCCATGCGCAGACGCAAACTTGCCCAAAATTGACAAACACAAACACAAACACAAACAGTATGAGTAGACTAGAAGGTCGACGCGAGCACTCCTGAAAGCAACAAATTAAAATTCAACTTATATGAGTCGACCTAAGCAGGGCTTTGAGTTAACTCAAACACTCTAAACTTCCAAAATTGACTTTTTGCTCATAGTTTGGTCTACCTAAGCTATATTTATGAATACCTAAGACTCCTAACATGATCAAGTACACACAGAACATATATAAGATGCTTCTATATGTATAGACACATGATTTTGGAATATTTTGTGCATTAGTAAAGTATGGATGCAAGCTAAGACTAGATGATACCGTCCAAATTACAAGGTACGAGCTAGACAAATTTTGACATCATTAAAGTAAAGACTGAGGCACATTGCCCTCACACCTCGGGCACATGTATCCTCGAGCACCACGAAACGACCCCGTCTCAGTAACAGACGTCGACCACGCCTACTCCTCCTCAGGACCACTAGCTGCCCTTAAGTCATCACTCCTATACTCAGGAGCAACGACTTGAGGGGCTCTTGTTCCGGACGGGCCCAACGGCTAGGCCTGCCCCAATCCACTTCTGCACTCCAGAACGACCCAATAGCCTAAGCTTTGCCAATTAAGAGCAAATGAAAGCATTTTCTACTCTGCCCCTCAGGTGAGGAGGGCTGACCAGCTGAACCCCCAGGATCAACTGCCCATTGTCACATCCCTGTCCGTCACGCACGGTTCAAACATCCAGGAACGACCACGACGCTCTTGCCCGTGACCACGCCTCTGCTCAAAGCAACGGTTAGTTCCGAGTACATCTGCCAGTCTCAATGGCTAATTTCTGGCAGTGGCCTATTTTTGGAGAGCGAATATTTCGGCCCGAAAATAGGGACCAATGGTCAAGCGCTGAGGGCATTATAAAAACCCTCTCCTGCGAGAGGGTCAGGTATTCAAAAATCACCCTAAAACACTCTTACTTTGTACTTGCCTTCTCATCTCCCAATTCTTACTTTAGCTTCGCGGAGTGCCTTACAGGTACACCCCACCTCCTCTTTGAATTCCAACATCGTAGATGAAGTCTCTGTCCCACTTCAGATTCAGATCAACCAGAAAAATAAAAAACTTCTTACAATCTTACGTGAACTAACTATAAAATTCTATCAAACATTTTTTTTATTGTACTTTTTTAAAGAGTATAATTTTAATAAAAAATATTAAAGGATTTTAAAAAAGAAACTTTTTAGATATCTTTGATTAAAAGACATTAATAAAATAAATTTTTAAATTTTGTTTGCGACTGGAATTTAAAGAGGATTTTTTAGTTTAATGAAAAATCATTTGTAATATAAATATATATACTTTTATAAACATGTAGGTTCGAGGAATAGAAATTTAAATAATTCTTGCTTATAACAAATATTACGGAAAGAGAGAAATGTATTTTATTAGATCTCTTTGATTAAAGATTCTTTTGCATATATGTTACTTTTAAATATAGACTAATAATATTTTTATATCTATTACATAATTATAAAAAAAACATGAGTTTAACTTTAATACGCTTATTAAATAAAATATTTTAACTTAATAAACTACAATAAATTTCTTGAAAGATATAAATCATAATAAATTTATTCCATATATAATTGATTAAGTGTAAAAAATATTAAGATTTTGTCATAATTTTGAGCTTACAACTTATAAATTCATATGATAATTTAGATCTGTTTGATTATGATAGTTTTATCACGAGTTTATAGCTTAGTTTATTAGGTTATAATTTATTTTTTAGTCGTTATTTTAAATAGCGTTTTACCTTATAATTTATAACTTATATATATATATATTTTTTTTTTTCATTTTTATTTTTATTATTTTAACAAAAATTCTTTTTTATCCTTTATAATTTATTTTATTATAAAATAAAATAAATAAATATTAAATATTATTTTAAGTTATTTTACATTATAAATTAGTTAAACCGTTAATTTTACCACACATTTTAATTAGTTTTTTTCATATCAAACAACTTCAATTAATTTATCAGCTATTAACCATCTGTTATAAACTATAAATAATCGGTCATCAACCATCATGCATAAACTATAAACTAACTTATTTTAGTCGACCTCTATTTTTAACAAATAGAATCTTATGTTTACTTTATAACTATTTTAATAAAGTTCTTTTAAGTGGTTTTTTAACATATTTATATCATAGATTATCTAAATATTTTTAAATAAAAAATACAAAACTCATTTTAATAATAAGTTACTTTAGGGTTCATTTGATTGAGAGATTTTGAAGGTGAAGAAAGAAGAGGGGAGAAAATATTTTAAAATATGTGTGTTTGGTTATTTATGAAGGGAGGAGAGGGAATCAAAGATAATCATAATTCCTTCTTAAGCCCTTTTTTGTTGGAGAATTTTTGGAGGAGGAGGGAGAGAAGTTATAATAAAATCTATTTTTATTATATTGACAAAATTATCCTCATTTTTGTTTAATAAAATTTTAAATTATCTTTATTAATATCATATCTTAATTTTTGTCATCTTATTATAATTCTTACATTTTTTTAACGTGAATTTTATTATTTTTATCATTATAATTCAAATTTTTGTTCCATGTATTTTATTCTATTTATTTTTATTTAATATTTTATTTATAATAACTTAGTTGTTTTATAAATTGTTGTATTGTATTATATATCAATATATAATTGTAGTATGAGTTATATATTATGTAGAATTTAATTTTATAAATATTATATAAGATTAAATAGATTATCAAGATGAGAAAATAGTTTATATAATCATTTATCATATAATATAATTTTATGATATTTATTAATATTTTATTTTTATTTTAAAATATTTTAAAGTAATTTAAATGTTAAATATGTTGTGTTTGATTATCTATATTTTTTTTTATGAATTAAGAGAAAAAATTGGTGATTATTATTATTTTTTAAAATTTATTTAACATTACTGTTATAATATTTTAAAAATAAAAAAATGAATTAATTTTAAAACCTCTCTTTTTTTAGAATCAAATATATATTTAAATAAAACCTCTCTTTTTTTTAGAATCAAATATATATTTAAATAAAGCCTCTCTCTCCCTTCCCTAGGTTATAAACCAAAATTAAAATATATTTCTTCACCTCATCTCCTCTCCTTTTATTAAAATCCATCGCCGTCCCTCCCCTCCCTTCATCTCACAAACCAAATAGCTCTCCTTTATTTCTAAACTGTGTCTTCTCGTTCTCAGATGGAGGAAACTGCCGTCGCCACTGCCACCGCCACCGCCACCGCCACCGCCACCGAAACCCTAACAACTTCACCACTTCATGCATCGCCATTACCAACTCTTCCGTTTGAACTTGTTGTTGAAATTCTGTATCGTTTGCCGGTGAAGCTTCTCGTTCAACTTCGATGTCTATGTAAGTCCTTAAATACCCTAATTTCTGATCCCAAATTCATCAGGAAACATCTTAGCATGTCAACCGACTGCCACCGCCTCCTTTTGTTTTCCGGAGTTGATTCCCATGTACTGTCTTACCCACTTCACTCCAGTTTCAGCGTTATCGCCGATAACGCCACCCGACACGTTTATCCTTTTACTTTCAAAGAACAATTTCATTATATCTTCGGCTCTTGCCATGGAATGTTTTGTTTGGAGGTAAACGGCTCTGTTATTTTGTGGAACCCGTCCATTCAAAAATTCAAAGCATTACCTTATTTAGGTGGTTATCCTTCATATGGTTTTGGATTTGATGCTTTAAGTGATAATTATAAGGTGGTTTCTATTCTTCGCAATATGATTCCAGGTAGTAATGGAAATCATGAAGCTAAAATAAAGGTTCTTACATTGGGTACTAATTCTTGGAGAATGATTCCAGGCGAGTTTCCTGTGCCGAACACTAGAACACTGAAATTAGCTAGTGGCACACTCAACTGGTTTGCATCTAATGATTCTAGCATTGTTTCTTTTGATTTGGTGAATGAGTCGTGTCAAAAACTTTTGCTTCCTAAGTATGGAGGGGAGGAGGTAGATAAGGTGATCTTAGATGTCTTGAGGGATTGTTTGTGTATCTTTGCTCATAGTAACACATATTCTAGTGTTTGGATGATGAAGGAATATGGAAATGCAGAATCTTGGACACAATTGTTTCGCGTTCCTCGCATGGAAGATCCTTTCTACGATCGATATACCACACCAATCTGGATCTCTGATGATGACCTGGTGCTGATGAAGAAGGAATGTATGTCATTGTCATCATGGATAATGAATTTGGCCCTATGTGATTTCAAAAATGGTGCCTTTAAGATTCAAATGATTCAAAATATCAACGATTGGATTACCCCTCAAGTCTACATTGAGAGTTTGTTATCACCTTGTTTCTAATGTGGTAGGTACTATGTGACTTGAACTTTAGACTCTATTGCAACTTATTTGTTATGTTTATATTACTTATTTTATAGTTGTTCTAGTTGCTAGTTACTTATTTTATTGATCATTTTTAATTAATGGTTGATTGCATATGTAGCTTGAAAAATTGATATGTTATTCTCTTTTATTAAATAGTTAGGTTCGTTGATTCTCTCTTTATGTATTACCTTTTATTTCACAATTATAGGTTTCTTTGGATGATTCGTGATTTGATTTTTCAATTTAAACTTAGCTATTAAACCAAAACACTAGTATGTCTGTTAAAGTGTCTACTAACCACCGTACAAATTTCATAATGTTTGTTTCAGATCTTGTCTCATTCATTATGAACATGGAAAATCAATATGTATCACGCATGTGATTCTTAGTGAAAAGGTTAGGAAAACTTCTATAGATATGAAAGTGCTCACAATGAGTGTATAAAAAAATACAAACTTATTGGAGTCCAAAGAAGTTCTTGGAGTTAATGCAAGCAAGTTATGCTTTCCCATTTTAATTGCTATCTCCCCTTTAGCTTCTCGGCATAAGTAAAATTTGTATTATATTTGACACTAGAATTTAAAGATCATTGCGTGATTTGAAAATGATTTGTAATTTTTTCCATGTCATTTAATTTGTGAAAAATCACGAGTTCCTTCATAAACGAGTTTGTGTGTGCATTTGGGATTGAAGTACTTATGCATCAACTGCCTTGTATTGATGCGTAAACATAATCTTTATGTAGATTAGTTAATTAGTTAGTATAATATTGCTATAGTTTTTTTTTTTCTTCATTTCATCTCATCTTATTCGCTTATGTTTTGAATGATTTTCATTTCAATAAATTGTCAATAGTTTGAAGTGAGCTTCTACTCTAATACAGAAGCCTAGCTTTGATTCCAAACTTTTAAATAAAGGCTCAAACTACTACTTACAAATGATGGTGGTAACTAACGAAATCAAACATTTAGATATCTAAAGCCAATCACCTCATGATGGTGGTGAACCTTAATACTTCAATAAATTAAGCAAAACATCTCTTGATGTTTTTGACTTAGGATTTTGTTTAAGCACTTATTGTTCCCTTAACTTTAATTTGTCTTGTAATATGGTTTTGGATTTCAATTGGTGTAGCTTTGTTTGTTGAAAGGTGATGATATCACTATTTAATGATGCTTAAGACTCAAGACTCAAGCTAATCAAGGATGTGTTTGACTGCATTGCACCATTTTGTCAGGAATCATAATTGTGTCAATGTGTCATTCATAATCTATTACTGTTTTTATTGAGAACTAGGAGCTATAGCTTTCAGTTTTTTTTCCAATTTTATTTCTATAGATGTATTCAAATACAGAAAACTAGATAGTAACTTGCGCAAAGCATGGGAGAATTTGACAGAAAGTTTTCAAAAAAAATTGTCATCTAGTACTTAATAGGATGACTCCTATCCAAAAATTTAGATGTGGATTGTGGAAACATACATGTAATTTTTTGTTTTGTTGAATTTGAATGTTATTTATATAGTATGCTTGTCTATTTGGATGCCTTCTATTGGTATACAGGATTGTTAGGATTATATCTAACATGAACAATGTAGTATTTGGATGCCTTTTTGATTGTAGTATTTGGATGCCTTTTTGGTTGTAGTATTTGGAATGAGAATTTTGTATTTCTGATTTTCATTCCCAAGAGACGAAACATATTCTGAGCATCCCAAGAAACTTTCATATACGTTTCCGTTTTTCTGGTTTTAGTTTGTTAAGCTGGGTCAGTTTTTGGCAATTAGTTAATTATGCCAACTTGCTTAGTGGCTTATGCTTGAGCCCTTGCATCTATAAAGCCTTCATAAATACTTTGACCTTTTGTGCAGGAATTGAATGAAGCTACATAGAGTAAAAAACGAATGGAAACTAATCAATGTCTCAACAAAACCAAGAGCCTTTGGAAATGGAAGCAAATAGAGCTTCGGTTGATTCTGGCTGTTTTGCATAGGTTCAACTGGCCGAGGTTTTTATGTTTTACGACATGTTTTGGTGATTTTTATAGATTCCAAGTATTATAATTTTAATATAGAACATATTACCTTAAGATGCAATTTGATGCTGGAAAAATTAGATTATGTTATAACTATTATATTAGTTCATTAAAGAGTCTTAATATAAGAATGAGTTATCATAGAGGTTGTCTTGTCAAAGCTGCTACATTTGATTATGCACATCTCTTACTTTTAATTTTTGAGACAATGCAAATGTGTTAATTTCAACACAGACAAGTTTCTATATACAATTAATTTTAGTTTTCCTATTTTATTTCATAATTGAAGCTAGGCTCTAAGATTGATCTTGATTCTAGGTATTTGCTTGTAATAATCATCTGCAAGCCATGTATTAATGTCAAATTATAATTCCAGTTTTTTTTACTATGTTGCACACGAGTGCACACGAGGGTCCTAACCCTTTGTAAAGAATTCAATGTAGAAGGTCATAGGTATATTTACTTTGGAAATTTCTTAATATATTTTATATATATTACTAATGTATTACGTGAAAAATACTAAAATGTCCTGAGAGAGATGTATTTCAGAACACGCTTTAAACACGTACACCATCGTAGGTCAATTCTGATTCATGCCCTAGGAGTGTGACTTTTTTTATTCCGGAGATGTATCTCAGGAAACTGTCTGTATATGCATCTCCGTAGCATATTGAACCAGAAATAGAAGCAGTTGAAAACCATAAAGTTGTATTTCCACAAAATAAAATTACCATTCATAGTATAAAATCAGCATTACATAGGTGATGTTAAATCAAAATCAGACATTACATTTCAATACACAGGTGGACGCTTCAAGATTTTAACAATATCTTTGATCAATCTTGAAATTGTCGCTTCCATCTCGATCAAAACTTTTGTTTTGAAACGAAAAAAATGTATTCCACATAGCCCCTACATTTGCATCCGTCTTGAGCTGATAGTTGTTGAACTCAATTTTGTCTTCGTTGTCATTTGACGGTGAATGTTACTTAAGCTTCACAATTTTTTTATTATCTTCGTAAGGTAGGAGGTTAAACATTTCGTATTGCAAATATACAAAAGAGGTGTACTCATTAAGCTTAAACTTTCGTCCGGGTTCGCGCTGGAGAAGGAGACATTTGCGACATACCAGATGATGTTTATTTGTGACATTTAAGACATTTTCTGTTTGTATGAAATAAAAAATAAGAGCCCTTAAATTTATAGAAGTTGCAAATAAATGTGGACCTCAAGAATTCTGTCACGTATTAGTGTGGCTTCAAAGATACAATTTTGGAACCACCCTGTTATCTTATTCCAGAGATATATCTTTGGAACCTCTTTCTAAACTAGACAGAAAACAAAACATGTGTGTTTTGTTTGGAAAATGAACAAATGTTTTGGAAGATATCAAAAATGTATTAAAATATATGAAATTGTATATATTACACTTCATTAATATTAATACACTATTAAATAAAGTTAATTGATGATGAAAAACTAAAACAAATCAAAAGATTTGTTGCCGGCTAAATCTATAAGTATGGGACCCTCCTTGACTTTTGTGCATTTGATTTTCTTTCAATGTTGCTCAATTTCTCGAACTCTTGCATCCTTTTCACAAAATGGTACGACTAAGTCTTGACTTTTGTTGTTGAATGAGCTGCCCACTCTGGTGATGTAAGTGGTATAAGGAATCTCGGTTTCAAGTAAACATGAACAAAATGTCGTGATTCTTAAAGCCACCTAATACGCAACACACAGTCATTTGGATTTTGAAGTAGGACGGTGCGCAATGGAAAAAAAAGTTTTCAAAAAACCGTATCGTGTAAGATCAATACACACTCAGTCATACATACATGCTATGAGGTGATCTTTTCATGGAAGCGCATCCATTTTGCTTTCGGTGTCGGTCCACTAAGGCAAAGAGCAAGAGACTCATAAATTGCATCAACGTTTTCTTTCTTTCCGTAAAGCCGTAGTGAATCTGGAAAAACTTTGTCAACATGTTGAAAATATATTTGTTAACTTATCACTGGCTAGTATAATTCCAATCTCCTAAGCAGATTATCTATTCCTATGCGATTACAAAACTCACTGACAAGTGCAATTAGTATTGTGCGATGTAAGTTCCTATTAACCGAATCAAGCAAACATATTTAAGCTCACGTGGATTAAGCAAGCGCGACTTAATCAAACACAATAACAAAAAAGCTACGCTAACGTGATTATAGTTAAGGATCATACACAATTGAATTAAATCAATATACTATATGAAAATTGAATTAAGCATGCAAGAATCACAAAATAAAATTGAAAGGAATAGAATCTGGATTGAAATTATTATAACCTCAAAGCGGTGGAACATGTAAATGAGCATAATTCGCCTTAGGGATTAGTTCTCCATGAAAATTACAAAGTAAAACTAAAATCTTGAATAGTGAATAAGGTGTCCCTTCGCAGCAGCTGCAACTGAAATAGGTTAAAGGAGACAAGGATTTGTGTCCTAACTTAAATCGGTTCAGAAAACATAAAAATTGGCTCAAAACTAATTAATTTATAAAGTCTGAAACTAAAATAATTTATTTGAGTCTTCTACACTCTGAATCTGCTTGTGATTTCAACATGAAACTTTTAGCTTATCCTATCAGCTTTCTAACGCCTATTATAACGTGTCAATCCCTTTTTCGTAACCCAAGTTATGACCTGCACAACGAGAGGGTATAAATAGCTATTTATTCAGAAAATACCATACAAAATTAAAATAAATGTAAAAATAAACTAAGTTAGAAAAACACACTAAAATAGTATAAATAATAAAAGACACTCTAGAATTTTTGCAACATAATAGTGAAAGAATGTGCATAAAAATGCACGGATCAGTCAACTCTAGGTCAAATGTTTCTTTTTGTGTATAATTTTGATTTTGACTCTTTTGTAACGAACCTTTGATGATTTTGTAA